CAACTGCGGCTGAACCAGAGTGCTCAATCCCGAAATTTTTCCCCAGTCATGCACACGAGTTCACTGTTGTATGGCTGTGCAGTGATCGCTTCTATTTGAGTAGGATGACAGGCCGTAGGTATTGCAAATGTTTCATATTTTGGGATGTAAATGTACAAAAAAATTTGAGAGTCAACGAATGCGATAGTGGTTAGAAAAACCAGGTGGCTCTATAATTTTGTCCGGCTTTGAGGGCTTTTTCGAATTTTTCGTTTTTCTCCGTTTAAATTCAACAAGACTGGAAGCCGTTTCAAAGGGGTCATGGTAGGTTGACATGCGCACAATACAGTGACGTTTCAGACAGATTCATTGACAAGAACGAAAATTTCGACAAATTCTAGAGTGGCTTTATAATTATGTCCAGCACTGTATGGACATATACATATTAGGTTGTTCTGAAAGTAATGTCGCTTTTTTCAAAGGTACGCCGCATCTCGTAGAACAAAGGTGTGTAAGAGATTCTGGGAGCGCTTGATGCAGCATTTTATTCTCTTTCTAATGATTATAAAAGCATTGCATAGTAATCAATAAGCTCTTAAAAAACTACCAAAAACTGCGACCCATTTTGAAAAGGTCATATTTTACAATTTTTCTAAATTCTTATAACAACCCTCGGAAGGAGTCCAAATAATGGATGGATAGAGCAAATCCTACCGGAAACAGCACAGCTTTTTTCTATTTTCCAGAGCTCGTCATAATTTTTGTGTAGATTTTTTGATGAAACCACCGAATTTTAGCAGGCTCGTCTCAGACACGATTGCATCAAACACCAGTAAATCTTCGGTTTTTGAAACTTACAAATACGGATTAGGGTTTGACATTAATTTTAGAAACCAAATGAGCATTCTTCGCTTCTTATTAGCAACTGAAAATTTCGGGTACAGCCTGGGGAGCCTTGGAAAACCTGAACTATGGCGATTTTATCCCGACAAACTTGATGGATCGAAGAAAAACAACTGGTAGAAGGAGAAGAAAAAGCTGCGTCGAATGACACCCGAGATGAGCTTTTTATTCTGTGAGGTTTGAGTTGACCAAATATAGAATTTGATGGCAATGAAAAATTGACTCCAGAAACTCCAAGAAGCAAGCTAACGAAAAGAGAAAATTACTCTGTGTGCTATAGGGTTTGCTCTATCTATCTGTCACTTGCTCTTCTTCTGAAAATAGGTACAAAAATTTAGAAAAAATAGCCGGACTTGACCATGGCAAAAAGCATGAGTCGCAGATTTTGGTAATTTTTCGAGAGCTCATTGGACATTGTGCAACGGACTTACAACTTTTAGAAAGAGGATGAAATGCTGCATCGAATGCTTTTAAGATCTGTTGAGAATCTTGATTCCGCGGAATGTGGCGTTCATTTGAAAAAAGCGACATTACTTTAGGAAGGACCTGATATATACAGTGACCGCCAAAAAGTTGCGGACAAGCCTCCCTCCCTTTTTCATCGCTCTTTTTCAGAAGGAAAACAAGGATAAAAAAAATGTAATAATTGCATGAGGTGATAGAGCTCCTCAAGATCTACAACCTACTCTTTGCGTTTTTCGAAAAACATGTATTCTGAAAATTATAAAAAGCTTCTTCTAAAAAAAGTCCGAAAATGGCCGCGTCACAATGTCGCGGACATTCTTCGAACGCACCGGAGATTTGGCGGATGGGTGGAAAAAAGCGGCCTCAGTGGTGGTTGGAGTGAAGGCTCTTATCAAAACCAAAACAGTTCTAAAGCTTCAAAATGGATCTACTACAGGGACATTGACAGTTTTAGGCTTCCAGGATTGAACTGGTAGCGAAAGAAGCTCTATTCAACTTTAGCTGGATATCCTCACCCTACCACTGAGGCCGCGTTTCTCCCACCCCATCCGCCAAATCTCCGCTGTTTCTTATACCCATCTCTTTTGCATACCATCGTATAGAGGAAGTCTCGTTCTCTTGAATGAGCCTAATTTCCGGCTCACACATTGACTACAAGCCGAGTTACAAGCCTGCAAAGCGGTACAAGTCAGTGGTGAGGTGCAGGTGGGGTCATGTGCAAGCATTGCCAAGAGCCATTTTCAGCAAAGAAACTCATCAGCACACGTCCGATGCATAGAAGATGGCAAAGAGCATCTACTTTATTCGAACAGCGTTGTTGGAATGTCGTAAATAGGTTTCCATGTGGAAAAATTTGGCTTAAAAAGGAGAATTAGAAGTTATTTTTGAAAAAAAAGCAAAATAAAACTCAAGCTTGCGTTTTTGGGAAGCAACCATAACCAGTGTGTAGTTCTTGACGAGCTTTGTATAGTAGTATGCTTACCCGTTTGGATTACTTGTGTTTCCGCTTCAGAATAGGACTCAAAAGAAAATTTTTGCGTTCGAAGAATAATTGTCCGCGACATTGTGACGCGGTCATTTTCGGACTTTTTTAGAAAAAAGTTTTTTAAAATTTTTAGAATACATGTTTTTCGAAAAACGCAAAGTGCAGATTGTAGATTTTGAAGAGCTCTATCACCTCATACAACTCCTTCATTTTTTTATCCTTGTTTTCCTTCTGAAAAAGAGCGATGAAAAAGGGAGGGAGGCTTGTCCGCAACTTTTTGGCGGTCACTGTATGTGCATCGTCTCAAAAGGCAAATCTAAGTTAGTATCCCTCCCTTGTAAGAGCAAACCAAAACCTCGTTTGTCCCATTTTTCGCTTTGAAAATTTCAAACTAGAGAAGACCAACAGGCCCAAATCACTTTTGTGAAAATCACGAAGTTTAGGCTATAGAATATATTCATTCTCGCCGCCTTTCCTCGCAGTTTCTATTTGCTTAGATAAAAAGGACGATAACTTTCCCTAGGAAGAACGAATTTAAATGAAATTCCTGCTTGAAGAGAGGAAGATTTAGCAGTACAGAAAACACAGACTTTGAAAGCTCTGAAGGTAAGCTAATGGAGTGTGGCACAACCTCTAAAAGGTGTGGCAGCCATAGCTTTTTTAGGGTTGCGCCACCCCCATTAACTTACTTCACAGAACTAGGCAAGTTTTACAAACACAATGAAACGATTCGATAGCCAAAACCTCGTTGTTTTCAGAGAAGTAATCAAAGCTGAATTTGTCCCCTTTAAACAATAGTTGCTGGAAGCACAACCACTGCAAGCGAAAAATGGGACAAATGAGTTTTTGGGTGGCTCCTCCCATAGTTTGAAAGTCTTTGAAGAGGGATTTTTGAAATGAGCGAAGAATGAGTAGTGTTTTGTATCACGTACTAAAAGAGCTCATTCACTTTTGATATGCACGGTTTCCCAAAAAAATGTGAACAGTGTTTGATCGTTGATAACCCTCTTGCTTTCATGTCTTTCACCGAGAGTACCATAGTGTAGAGCGAGATCCAACTTAGATTTACGGCATAGAACGAATCTCCGATTATTCTTCGTTACTGTAGGATTACGGCATGAACTTTCAGCATACTGCGCCACTGTGGAATATGCCTTTGATGAAAAAATTTCAAAATCCAGAATTTTGTGTAGCAAGGTTTTCAGATGTACTGTACTACGTAACTTTTTATCAGTTTTTCGAAATGTTTTGATGGTGTAATCATACTTCTGACGAACATTGGAAAAGCAGTCGCTACCCTAAACCTAATAACTTACAAAAGAAGCATTACAGTAAAGTGCAACTTTCATATCTAGAATGAGCGACTTTGACTAGTCCAACACAAGTTTCTGGCTTGTTTGGTTTCTTTCCGAGGCGATCGCTTTCAATCTCCTAAAATCCTTCCCCAAATTCCTACCGTTATCCTACAGTAATGAAGAGTGATTGATGATTTGCTCCATAATGTAAATCTAAGTCGAACCTCGTTCTACATAATGGCGCCTTAAGCTCGGTGAAAGACTGAAAGCAAGGGAGTTATTACACATCAAACAGTGTTATTTCTTTGAGACACCCTGTATGGTTAACTATGTTTGAAAACGACCACTTCAATTGGGTGGCCCAATATTGGGATCCCTCATAATTCGCTAGAACTTTCCTGCAGGTATTATCTAAATGATTACGATTATGTTATTACTAATTATGCTTGGTAGAGTCTTTATGCATGCCTAAGGTAGGCAAACGATAACGCCGAGAGGGGAGGGCATTGAGACAGAACTTAGGAGATGGGATTGTATCCGGCGGTTGTGTGCCACATCTCTTGTTCGACTGTTGTAACCGAGGCCGTAGAGTGTGTACGCGACGGCTTAGGGTTGTTCCAACTCTCGCACTGATCGCACTAACCAAAGCCACTGCGGCCCTAGGCCCCGGGCAGAGTTCACTTGATTTCATCGTCGCGATTGATCGCGACAAGACAACTATAGCAATATTATTGCATGCCGATTCTCTTGAATTTCGGTTGTGATAGTTTTCCAACACGAGTAATCGCGACTAACTATCACAACCGAAATACAAGAAGATCGGCATGCAATGAATTCGTAACACTGTCTTGTAGCGATGAATCGCGACGTTGAAATCGCGTAAACTCTGCCCGAGGCCTTAGGCCTCGGACATACCTCACGCGATTTCAGTCGCGACGCGATTTGGCAATACTTCAGATGTTCATTTCATTGTACGGGGTTTCCGAATGTACGGAAGATGGGGCATTTTATCAACCTACGAAAGTTATATATGCTGTGCATTTGGAGTCTACCAGTATTGTATTTGAGAACATCTGGCAAATTGCCAGATCGCGTGGCGACTGAAATCGCGTGAGGTATGCCCTTAGCCTAACAGACCCAACTTCGCCCAGTAGAAACTTTGTACAGTGGCAACCGAGATTGTTTAGTTGGTGAACGAGAATTGTTGATGGAGAAAAGCAAGAAGAATAGGCCCATGGCCCTTCCCAACTTCTTCCGCCGCTGCGAAACTTTTTTCTGATCCAAAAAAATGAACAATTCACATTTTCTCGAGCTTCCACTCTTTCACGCCCAACTTCTTCGAATTGAAACAAGCCCCACTTTTTCACCTTGCTTCAAAAAAAAAACTCACCAGCGGTGATAGCGAAGAGCTGATCTTTTTCTTTTTGTTCGAACTTCATGATGTCGAAAGCTTCCTAAACAATCTTCAAATAATGATAATAATGAAATCATCTTGATTTGTACACAATCACCACTAGTTAAAGGCTTCGAAACTTCACCCCAAACACACCCGACATTTTCCTAACTAAAAAAATTTCTTCGCTACTTCAAACAAAAAACAGATCAAAAGTTAACAGCTATAGAAAGATATGTCGGGAACAGCTATTAGTCGGCGGCCCTTTCCCTCAGATTTTATAAGTGAGTACTTACATCTGTGAGCAGCATCTCTTCCTTGTCATTTACACCATCAATTGTGACTTCAGCTTGAGCCACAAAATGATAATCTTTGATGGGACGGGTGAGCATGAATTTTTCTGGAATGTGAGATGTCCTATTTCCAAAATAATCATACAAAAGAGTCACCTTTCAGCCCTTCGATAGCTCCCGAATACAACTGGTAAAATATGTGGTAACATCGTTCTCCTGGAGCCTGCTTGATCACTCTGGACTTTTCCAATAGATCTACAAATTCGATTTGTATGCAGAAAATGATAAGGTAATAAATAACACACAGTGCTCGATATCTCCTCCGGCCAGCTTTCCAGCTCTATTGAAATGTACTCGAATGAATTTTCCAAAACGAGATGAATTGTTATTACGCACAGTTTTTGCATTACCTGGATGAAAAGAAGAAAATAAAGAATTTGAGTTCTAGAGACTTAATTACCAAAGGCTTCAAGCACTGGATTTGTTTGCACAATCTGATCCTCCAGAGAAACATTCTTCTTGTCCTTTGCGTCCTTCTTGTTGCTATAAAATCAAATTATAGAGGGAAGAAATTGCTTTCACCTAACAAGGGAACCGTGTCGAGTCGAAGTGGCCTTTCCAGATGAGACCCATACTGCTTTGAAGAGCATTAATCGGTGATTCCAAATCTGCTTTCCAAATCTGCCAAGCGCCCTTGGACGCCGAGTTATGCTCGTTTTTCAGGTCAAAAAATTGAATGCAAAACTGAAGCAAAATCGACCAAATTTGCTTAAATGCTCCATTGTCAAGTATCGGAGCTGTTTATGCAATGAATACATTTTATTCAATACTAGCTGCGGTCCCCGGTCCCGCCCGGGCCGAGAGTCCAGAATGGCCCAGCATAGGGTGTGCTTCAAGATGTATACTTACCAGTCCTCCACTTTCTTCAGTTCACATCTTCTGTGACTCTCCTGCTTCACCTCCTTGTCAGTTCCAGCGCTCGTGTAGTATCCGTGGTGAATAGTCTTCTTTCTTGACCGGCTCGCTTCATGACACCGCATGCTCCTCACCGCAAAATGTAAATGATCTCTACCACCCCTTACTACTTAAGTTGGAAAAATGAATGGTATAGCCTTCATTTTCCTAGATTTTAGTAAACAAAATTAATAAATCGATAGAAGGACTCAGCGAATTGTCGAAAAAAGTAGCTTATCTGATGCGCCGTGTCTCATTTATAGGGAAACAAAATTCAGCCTCTTTGGTTCACATACAAAGGAGTCTATAAGCCACAAACATCCTAACAAACACGTTACAGTGTTTGAGTTTTATATATACTAGCTGGCATACCCGGCTCCGCCCGGCATCACATACACTTCGGTAAGAAAAACGAAGTTATATTCCCCAAGAAGAGAAAACAACTTTGGCTTTTTAATTGTGGTTGTCCTCAACAGAGGCAACCGATGGTTATCCTCAACAGAGGCTACCGATGGTTATCTCAACAGAGGCAACCGATGGTTGTCCTCAACAGAGGCAACCGATGGTTGGTACGATGGTTGTCCTCAACAGAGGCAACCGATGGTTGTACCGATGGTTGTCCTCAAGAGAGGCAACCGATGGTTGTACCGATGGTTGTCCTCAACGGAGGCAACCGATGGTTGTACCGATGGTTGTCCTCAAGAGAGGCAACCGATGGTTGTACCGATGGTTGTTCAACGGAGGCAACCGATGGTTGGTACGATGGTTGTCCTCAACAGAGGCAACCAATGGTTGTACCGATGGTTGTCCTCAAGAGAGGCAACCGATGGTTATCCTCAACAGAGGCTACCGATGGTTATCTCAACAGAGGCAACCGATGGTTGTCCTCAACAGAGGCAACCGATGGTTGGTACGATGGTTGTCCTCAACAGAGGCAACCGATGGTTATCCTCAACAGAGGCTACCGATGGTTATCTCAACAGAGGCAACCGATGGTTGTCCTCAACAGAGGCAACCGATGGTTGGTACGATGGTTGTCCTCAACAGAGGCAACCGATGGTTGTACCGATGGTTGTCCTCAAGAGAGGCAACCGATGGTTGTACCGATGGTTGTCCTCAACGGAGGCAACCGATGGTTGTACCGATGGTTGTCCTCAAGAGAGGCAACCGATGGTTGTACCGATGGTTGTTCAACGGAGGCAACCGATGGTTGGTACGATGGTTGTCCTCAACAGAGGCAACCAATGGTTGTACCGATGGTTGTCCTCAAGAGAGGCAACCGATGGTTGTACCGATGGTTGTTCAACGGAGGCAACCGATGGTTGGTACGATGGTTGTCCTCAACAGAGGCAACCGATGGTTGTACCGATGGTTGTCCTCAAGAGAGGCAACCGATGGTTGTACCGATGGTTGTTCAACGGAGGCAACCGATGGTTGTACCGATGGTTGTCCTCAACAGAGGCAACCGATGGTTGTACCGATGGTTGTCCTCCAAGTGAGGCAACCGATGGCTGTCCTCGATAGACATCCGATGGTTGTCCTCCGAGTGAGGCAACCGATGGTTGTCCTCAACAGAGGCAACCGATGGTTGTACCGATGGTTGTTCTCAAGAGAGGCAACCGATGGTTGTACCGATGGTTGTCCTCAACAGAGGCAACCGATGGTTGTCCTCAACAGAGGCAACCGATGGTTGTACCGATGGTTGTCCTCAACGGAGGCAACCGATGGTTGTACCGATGGTTGTCCTCCAAGTGAGGCAACCGATGGCTGTCCTCGATAGACATCCGATGGTTGTCCTCCGAGTGAGGCAACCGATGGTTGTCCTCAACAGAGGCAACCGATGGTTGTACCGATGGTTGTTCTCAAGAGAGGCAACCGATGGTTGTACCGATGGTTGTCCTCAACAGAGGCAACCGATGGTTGTACCGATGGTTGTCCTCCAAGTGAGGCAACCGATGGCTGTCCTCGATAGACGTCCGATGGTTGTCCTCCGAGTGAGGCGACCGATGGTTGTCCTCAACAGAGGCAGCCGATGCCGATAGTCGTCCTTCCGTTTTGTTCCTCAAGAAGAGGATGTACCGTTTCGTTCCTACCCTTAGACGGTTTGGCTAAACAGGTCCTAGGCTTTCCCCGGAACTCATCAGTAAGGAGGGAAGCTCGACTGGATCTGTCCAGCTTCTTGTTTGTCCCACCCACCTGCCCTGACCGCCGCTGGCCTCCGTTTTTTTGGGTTTTCGTTTTGCCGTTTTTTTGGGTTTTCGTTTTGCCATTTTTTTGGATTTTGTATTTTCCAATTTTTTTGGATTTTCCAATAGAATGGCATGCAACAAATAAATACTGTACTATACTACAGCATGCAATTATGTTAGCGCCCTGGGATACACTACGTTAGCCGTGCTCCCTTCGGGCGCATATATGTACAGGTTCGCCGGACTCCCGACCCTCGAACACGCCACGTACAGTTGACCATGCGAAAAACAGGGAGTTTCCAGGTCTACTCCTACTGTTCGTAGAGACTGTCCTTGCGCTTTGTTGATCGTCATAGCAAGTGCAGGCCTGACCGGAAACTGCACTCGCCTGAACTCAAAGGGCATATCGGAGGGGACGAAAGGGATTCGTGGAACATGAACGACTTCGCCTTTGAACTTCCCCGCCAATATGGTCGCTACTATGACGTTTGGCATGAGATCCCTGATGCAAAGCCTTGTACCATTGCACATCCTCGGTGGGTTGATGTTACGAAGGAGCATGATTGGCAAACCAACCTTCAGATCAAGTCTGTGAGGTGGTATCCCATTGGGCTGGAGTGAATTCAAGAACTCAGTGGGGAAGTAAACAGCCTGTTCACGCTGAACCATGGTATCAAAGGACGTGTACGTTGATACCGGTCCAGGTAGGCTGTTTAAAATCTGAGCATTGATAGAATCCACTTGCTCATTTTTGGGTGCCAGAATTGCTCGCTCGCAAATCCAGTCCCCATTGCTGAAGTTGGTGGCAATGTTTGGGAAGACCTTTTCGATCAGTTCTCCCACCGATTGAACCATATTGCAGAAGTCTGGAGGAAAGGTAATCCAGCCAGAACTTGGTTCGACCGGAATTCTGCCTTCGCCAAGAAGCAACAGCTGTTGCGCAAAGTTTCGGGCAGTCTCATCGCCAAGGAGGTGGACTCGCATGTTCGTCGTGAGATTCAGCGATCGAACATGTCTCCAGAGAGGAGAAGCTTTGAGGCAAGCGTTCAGCTCATCTGCTGGTGTCGATCGCGGAACCACTGGCAGAGTTTGACGAAAGTCGCCTGCCAGTAACACGACGACCCCACCCATTAGCGTGTTGCTTTCTCGTATGTCCCGCAGTGTGTTGTCAAGGGCTTCTAGGCACTTCTTATGCGCCATGGTGCATTCGTCCCAAACTATGAGTTTGGCTTCCTGCAGCACCTTGGCTTTCCCTGTGCCCTTGCTTATCCCACACACTGGGTGCTCTACATGAGCAATATCCAGAGGAAGCTTGAAGGCTGAATGGGCAGTTCGGCCTCCCTCTAGCAGTGTTGAGGCAATCCCCGAGGATGCCACTGCTACTGCGATCCCTCCTTGTCTTCGAATCTCGGCAAGTAGGAGATTGATGAGAAACGTTTTCCCTGTTCCACCCGGAGCGTCGAGAAAGAGTAGCCCACCTTTGCCACTGGAAATCGTGTCCAGAACAGCACGGTAAACCAACTCTTGATCCTCCGTAAGAAGAGGTCTGTTAGACTCTACAAATGTGGTCAGCTGATCGGCATCATAGGACCTCTCTCGGAGAACATCGCTCTCGAGTGCCTGGTCATCTCCGCGTACTGGCGACGGCAAACCGAGGTCTCTGAGAGTTTGACCAGTCATCGACACGCACGTATCCTCAAGCAGTATCAACGCTCGGTTGAATATCTGGGGAGAGTAACCGACGTCTACAGAAGGTGCCTCTCTGCGACATTCCCTGAGTACGTCTTCACTCAGAGCCTCTTTGTACTTCTCCCAGAGTGCTCGAGGATTTGACGGTTGACAGACTGTCAAGATGATGCCGAAGAGACTTCGCAGTTGAGCAGCGAAACTTGTCATAGCTGCTTCTGCGAGAGTTCTGTCCCATTGCTGATCATCTTCAAGCAAGCCAAGTCTTTGGCATGCTTCTCTGTAGGTCTCACATTCCTCTCCATCGATGGTCCTCAATGCTGCGAATGACGTCGGTCCTCGGATTGTGTGAAGCAACAATCTGAGGTAGAAGCATTCGGCTTGGTTAGGGTGTACAGTATATACACGCGCTAACACATCCGCAGCACGTATGCCAGGTTGTCCGGGAACTTCGGCTCCTTGCTTCCTTCTGGCCCACTTCTTTGTTGACTTGTTCCAAGTATAATATCTTGGAACTTCTGAGTACAACAAAGTCCGTGCGAACGGATCATGTTGGCACAGAAGGAAGAATGCCGTCAAAGTTGTTTGAGGTGGTTGCGCAGCTCTTTCCTGCGCATTATCAGCCGTGAAGTAGACGCGTTGTCCATTCTCTAGATGGACATGTAGATGGGTGACAGGTGGGTAATGTTCGTGTATCCTGAAACCCAGGATACG